CTACCTATCCATGAGCAAGGTATGTTTTCCCACTTATACAGGTCTCTTTTTGTTTCCTGCAGTAGTGTCTTGTAATTTTCATTGTATAGGTCTTTTACGTCTCTGGTTAGATTTATTCCTAAGTATTTTATCTTCTTGGGGGCTATTGTAAATGGTATTGATTTGGTGATTTCCTCTTCGAAGGTCTCTGTTGGTGTTAAGGAATCCAACTGATTTTTGTACGTTTATGTTGTATCCTGAAACTTTGCTGAAATCTTCTATTAGTTCCAGTAGTTTTCTTGTGGATTCTTTGGGGTTTTCTGGGTGTAAAATCATATCATCTGCAAATACAGATACTTTGACTTCTTCCCTACCAATCTGGATGTCCTTTATTTCTTCTTCTAGCCTAATCGCTCTGGCTAGGACCTCCAGCACAATGGTGAATAAGAGTGGTGTTAAAGGGCATCCTTGTCTGGTTCCTGTTCTCAAGGGGAATGCTTTCAAAGCCTCTCCATTTAGGATGATGTTGGCTGTTGGTTAAGTCAAGGACAATTCTCAAGTGCCAACTTGGATGCCAGCTGGGAGAGGAATTCAGGGAGAGAAGCAATTAGGTGGGAGAAAAGGAGCTGAGACGTCTGCGGGCAAGTTCAGCGGAGAGCAGTAAGGGGTGAGAGGACAGCCTCTGGCGAGGGCTTCAGACCTAAGACGGGTACTGGGCATCCTCAGCATCCAGTAAAAACGAGACTGGATAAATCCACCTAATGAGAGCACGCCAAGAAGAGAAAAAGGGGTCAAATTGGGTCTCTGGGAAAATGCTGACATGATACTGAAGTAACAACAGTTTAATATTATTAATATCAGTTAAATGCTGTTGTTCTTGTGTGCCATGGAGTTGACTCTGACTCATAGCAATCCTATACAACGGAGCAGAACTGCCCCATAGGATTTCCTAGGCTGTAAATCTTTATGGGAGCAGATTGCCAGGTGTTTCTCCCGCAGACCTGCTGGTGGGTTTGAACCACCAGCCTTTGGTATAGCAGCTGAGCGCTTACAGTTACCTGTTACATACTATATAACAGAACAGTACAATAATAAGAATGACTCCAACAATGGCAGCTACCTTCTACTTAGCCTTGTTACATCCCAGGCCCTGAGGTAAGTATTTTATAGATATCATCTCAATTTATTCTGACAACCCGACAGGTGAGGCAAATAAAGAATATGAGGTGTGGTGAAGTTATACAACATGCCCAAGGTCACCTAGTAAGTGGCAGAGTCAAGACCCAAAACGAAGTCAGACTTCAAAGTCTAGGCTAGTCTCTGTCAGCAAAGTCCCGTCCAGCAGCCACGGAAGCTTCAGGAAGGAAGACTCACCAGCTCCCACAGAGCCGTCGCACACAGAAGAACGGGTGGTGTCCACAGAGCTTATCAACGAGATCTTACAGGTGGCCCTAGAAACAACAGTTACGGGGAAAGGGATGCAGCTAAGCTGACCACAGCAGGCTGAGGCATGGGCATGGGGTGAAAACGAAGGTGGCTCCCTTCTTTCTGGAGCCTGATGATGACGGGATGAACGAAGGGTGGGTGGAACCCAAAGGAGGGCAGAGCCAGAGGCATGTTTGTTCTGTAGCATGGAAGCAACAGCCATGTTCACACGCTGAGGAGTCTGAGCTAACCGGGAGGAAGGAGAGGTGACAGGAAGAGGACTGTTGCTGCCAATGAGGAAGAGATGCAGAAGAAGCCTGCTGAGCTGCCAAGTAGCGGAAAGGAGCAAGGGAGGCCTTGTCTGAGGTCGAAGCTGAGGGCTACGTGAAGCAGGGAGAACCCAGCATTGAGGTTTCCACCTGAGTAGAGAGCAGGCATTTTGGCAGCCACATCCACATTTGCTTTGCAGCCTCCTGCAGCCAGAGTGTGGAGTGAACAAGGCAGAGGAAGTGGTAAACTCAGCAGTCATGATACAAATCGGTTCCTGCATTTCACCAAATTGTCATCTATTCTTTTATTGTACTACTGTCTCGAAGTGCAGTAGTTACATCAAATTAAGCTCCATCTAGGAGCCCTGGTGGCACAGTGGTTACGAGCTTGGCTACTAACCAAAAAGTCGGCAGTTCAAATCTACCAGCCACTCCTTGAAAACCTATGGGGCAATTCTACTCTGTTCTATAGGGTCGCTATGAGTAAAAATCGACTTGAAGGTAACGGGTTTGTTTTCTGTTGTGTGTGTTTTTTTTTTTTTTTTTTTTTGTAGGTGATGTAAGTTTTATCACACTGGAATAACAATTCCCCTAACTATGACCTAACGTAACGTTATCATTTTCTGTCCTAGTACAGGTCATGGCAGTTGTTTCCTATCATTGCTAGCCTTGCAGTGATAAGTAAGTCACTATCCATATGCTCTGGAGAGAAGGGTGTCCCCAAAAGCTCAGAGATGACATCGGGCATACCGTCCTCCTGCCATAGCCACTCTTGGTGTCATACTTTAGTACCCCTGACTGGACTAAGAATGAGAAAACCATCCCAGGAAGGTTATAATTTGTTAAATTTATTAGAAAGTTAAACATTTTTTAAAAGTGCCTCATTATTGGGACTGTTTCTTTTTCTATATAGAAATTATCACCAAATGGTTCTTAATTTCAAACCTAAGGATAAATATAATAAAGATTAGCAAGAACATTTTGCTTAAAAGTCACTTAGTACTTGAGAAATACTAAGTAGGAAAATAATAGTAATTTGCATGCTCTATTTCCTGATCCCTAAACACATTTATATTCAAACAGGCACAACTTTAGTCACTGCAGTAACTGAAACTACCATCAAATACCTTTCTCCTGAGATTCTTGCTAAACGCCTCTTTACCTCATCTCGATTATCAACTTCACAGAGTTAAGCTGAACAAAGTCAGCCCGAAATTCTGAATTATCCTGGCCCTGCTACTTCCCTGCCATGTGATCTCTCAGTTTAAAATCTAATGTCAACTACCTAGAGCACACGATGCCTCGAAACACCTGTCACGTGCGTGCACTTCCCTATGGGAAAAAGCAATGTGCTAACACTGGGTTGTCACAGTAGCTGCATAACTCTATAAATTTACTAAAAAGTGCTGAACTACATACTTAAAACAGGGTGACTTACAGCAATGTAAAGTATATTGCAATAAAACCATTTTTAAAAAGTGACCACAGACATTGCACTCAGTAGCAAGAGTGCCTTTGGTGTCCCACTGGAAAACACAAGAGAAATTTCTAAAATTTCAAATAACTACCTTTGCTGGGGCTAGGGGCCAGGGGAAGAAGGAGGCAGTGCAGAGAAGGAAAACATACCATAAACAAATATGACTAAGCAATAAAATGCCAGTACCCAAGATCTTGACTTGAAGTCTCACAACTCCTAGAGCTATCTCCTGAGCCCATCCGCCTCCTTTTGGGTGGCTGGGTCCCATCATTTGAATTATCTTCATTATCATCCTGCACATTTAAAAAAAAAAAAAAAAAAAAGAGAGAGAAAATTTAAAAACAAAGAAAAAAATGATCATCCATCCTGCGTCCTCCCAGACTTGCTAGAAGGCTCAAGTCAGAGACTTTGTACAGACAACTAGTTATACAAATGTAACCTCCTATTATAATTAAAAGAGGCCAAGAATTTGCCACAGGCAAGACCTGGAACAAAAGTCAAAACTGATCATCAATACAATCAAAGTAAGATTTTCACTTAAACTGTAAATCTAAACCCACTTTAGATTTCTTATCGAAGTTAAAAACGCCTCCGCTTTTAACAAACACATAAAATTTCTGCATCACTCTCAAATTACAGCAAATCCTCCCACCCCTGCCAGAAAAAAAAGTATGCATAATTTATGTTTAACTCATCTTAAGACTAATATAGTTCTATAGGCTTATGTTGTTAGGTGCTGCGGGTCAGCTCTGACTCAGTCACCCTATACACAACAGAACACTGCCTGGTCCTGCCCCAACCTCACTGTCCTTGCTATGCTTGAGCCCACTGCTGCAGCTACTGTGTCAAACCATCTCGCTGAGGGTCTTCCTCTCTTTCACTGACCCTCTACTTTACCGAGCACAATGTCCTTATCCAAGGATTGGTCCCTCCTGATAACACATACAAAGTAAGCAAGACGAACTCTTGCCATTCTTGCTTCTAAGGAGCATCCCGGCTGTATTTCTTCCACAACAAATTTGTTTGTTCTTCTAGCAGTCCATGGTATATTCAACATTCTTTGCCAACACAATAGGCTTATAGGACTTATCTAACTGGCTACTTTAAGTACTTAGATCCCTATGAAAAAGGGACATACTAGGACTCAAAACAGGTTACCAATCCTAACTGTTAAATATTTTTCTTACATTCAAAAATTTAGCAAAAATATACCCTAAAAAGTCATCAATCTATATTGCCACACACATCCCCCAAAAAGGAGAGGTTTAAAATTTTTTAATGCAATACTTTATGTGACAAGAATATCAAGAGTGGTGCAAATGGTTAACTTGTTCTGCTGCTAACTGAAAGGTTGGAGATTTGAGTTCACCCAGAGATGCCTCAGAAGAAAGGCCTGGTGATTTACTTCCAAAAAATCAGCCATTTGACAACCCTACGGAGCACAGTTCTCTGGCACACATGGGGTTACAAGGAGTTGGAACTGTCTCCAGGGCAACTGGTTTTTAACTGCTTAAATTCATCATTTCCATTAAGGAAATGAAATGAGGAATTAGACATTAGGATATTGATTTATTCACATGGTAGTCAAGGGGTAAGCCATGGTGTTTTCAATGGCCTCATATGAATGCGAAAGCTGGACGATGAATAAGGAAGACCGAAGAATTGGCCCCTTTGAATTATGATGTTGTCGAAGAATATTGAATATACCATGGATTGCCGAAAGAACAAACAAATCTGTCTCCAAAGAAGTACAACCAGAATGCTTCTTAGAAGAAAGAATGAGGAGACTTCGTATCACATACTTTGGACATGTTGTCAGGAGGATCAGTCCCTGGAGGAGGACATCATGCTTGGTAAAGTAGAGGGTCAGCGAGAAAGAGGAAGACCCGCAATGAGATGGATTGACACATTGGCTGCAACAATGGGCTCAAGCATAACAATGATTGTGAGGATGAGGCAGGACCGAGCAGTGTTTCATTCTGCTGTACATGGGGTCGCTATGAGGTGGAACCAACTGGAGGGCACCCAACAACAAGGTCTAAAAACACAGATCTTTTTAAAAATCAAATTAATGTGGCTTTCTAACACTAGTACAATTTTGTTGAAATACCATGGTCCTCTTGCTACATAATAAAATGAAAACAACCCTACAAAGGAATATAAAGATGTAGTATGGGGTAGTGGTCAGGCATGTCAGAGTTGACTGCCTGGGATCTCACTGAGCGCTGTTTCTCCGTGGCTGAGCACTCATGCTTTATGGGCCTCTCCTTATCTGTAAAGTCGGGATGACAGCAGTGTCCATATCATGTGGTTAACGCAAGGATTAAATCAGTTAACACATGGAAATCGCATAGCGGAATGCCTACAAAATAATTAACCAAACCATTGCTGTCGACTTGATTCCCCGACTCACAGCAACCCTACAGGACAGAGTAGAACTGCCTCATAGGGTTTTCAAGGAGCGATTGGTGGATTCAAACTGCCGATCTTTTGGTTAGTAGCTGAGCTCCCTTAGCCACTGCTTAAATGCTCAATAAATGTTAGTTAATATTATGATTATGATGGTGATTATTAGAACGTCTCAAATGTCTCCAGCTGTTAGGAATTTACTCAGAGTCTTTCCCACAAAGTAAAATGTACAAAATATTCCTTTTCAGTCCTTACAAAATAAGCATTCAATTAAAGAGCTCTGTATATTCTTATTGAGACAATCAACCAGGTAGGACCTGGATAATAGTCCAAATCTTACAGGGAAATGAAATTTTACATTTAAGTAATTAAGTATCAATTACAATTAAGCAGTATCACAATTGCAACATTTCATATTCAATACTTCTAGACATAACTCATTTTAAGCATCAAAGTTTTTTTTTTTTTTTTTGCTTGCTTATGAACGTTTTAAGGATTTTTATATAAAAATCCTTAAAGATTATTCCTCTTTGGCTAAAAAATTGAGATACTCAAAAATAAAAAGTTAAAATAAGTCCTCAAAAAAGCTGAAACCACAATTCAATATATAAAGAGTTTGAAATTTGCTATTCTAGACAAATACATTATTACATAACATAATCATTTGGTCAGCTCACCTTTTTCTAGAGAGACTGTACCAGAAACGTCTTAACCGATATACTATGGAGTAAGACTAAGTCATAAAAATGTACTGGTAAACCTTGACACGGAACAGCTGTCTGTTTTCAAAGACTCCCAAATGTACTAAATCAGACATTCACGTTTCAGAGTTAACCGGTGGCTCCCACCTTCCCATAACGTGTTTCTACGCAGCCCATCCTGCAGGCAGACTCCCAAGGCTGGATCCGCGCCGAGCCCGCCCTGGGCCAGGCCTTGCATGAGATGCTGCGAGTACAACAGCGGTGTGTCCAGTGACTGTCACTGGCCGGGACATCTGGGCCCCCATCAGAACCGAGTCCTCACTACGTCCCACGGGACACGCGCAACAGGCAGCGCGGCAGGACAGGGAGCAGCCTTGTCAGACACAGACGTGTCTACTGTCAGGGCCATCCGTCCCCCACGTCCGAATGGCTGTGTGCGAATTCAGCCACTGTACTAAGTTCACTAATTTAAATGTCCTGTTTCCACAGCTGTTTACAATCCTTGTTTTAATAAGAGGTCAAATAGCTCAGAAAAATATTCACCGAATGAAGGATCTTTTGAAAACATCATACTAACCCACACTAATACGAAGAAAACTACTTTCATTTATGAGTTTAATTTCCACCTGGAAGCAGGACGTTTCTCTGACAAAAGCCTAAGTAAGCTTTTCGGGAAATGAGGTTAGAGTCTCAGACACGGAAATGGCCAAAAAGTTTTGGGAAAAGGCTTATAATTTTCTTCCCTCTGGCTTTCATCACTGTGTGCTATTTGAAAAAAAGAAACGAAACGCAGAGTTGCCGCCAGTGAAGGTCACCGGCGGGGCCACTGGGGCAGAGGGGACGGCGGGGCCTGACTCCCGGGCAGCCCGGCCGGGGTCCCGCTCAAGGCTCCGCGGGGCCAGCGCCCCACTTTCAGGGAACTACGCCGGGAAGCCGAGCGGCCTGGGTCGCTGACCCGCGAGCACGTCTGGTGTCCGGACGCCGAGAAGACGCCGCGGGAAGAAACTTCTCCGGAAACTCCCGGCGGAAGCGCCCCTCAGACCGGCCGCGGCCTCGGGCTGGCGGGGCCGACAGCTTCGCCCGGCCGCCGCGGAATCCGCCCGCTGGCTCCTCACCTTCGGGGACTGCGCTCCGGGGGCGACCGGGTCGCCGTCGCACAGGCGCGGGGACAGCGCCGACCCGG